CTAAAACGCCCACATAAAGGGCAGAGAAAACAAAAACAAAAAAGAAGGAAAGAAAAAGAAGAAGAGTCACTGATGTGTGAACGAATATGCCTCAACTCCTTTTCATTACAAACCGCTGGGCACATGCAAATATTCCCCTCCTTCCTTTCAGTGTTTTTTTTCCCTTTATTATTCTCCACAAGTCCTGCCTTCTCCTTTTAATGTTTCATACTTCTTGTATTAAACATTCATTCCCTCACCGCTCCGGTCATTCAACAAAATTGCCATGGCGCATCACCTCTCGGTCGCGGAAAAAAGCGCACCATGTGATTTGGCAGAAGAGAAGACCAGAATACATCGTCCGACATCGTCTCGCTGAGATTGAGGGATTCAAAAAAGACCTTCACAAAGTTTCGATCCTCCACTTGTGGAAAAAGAACAGGCCGAAGACGATGCACACCACCGTCAATGAGGGTCTGCTCCAACTCCGGTAGGGTGGCACCAAATACCTCCTTTGAGCGGGTCGACGCAAGAACGTACACACAGCGCGTCACCACCGGTTGCACCAACTCCATAGAAAGGCCAATGGCAAGAAGTATATTCAATACATAGGCATGAAGGTTCATACCACGTTCATGACTCTGCTCTTTATGCGCCCCTAGCCTCTCCAATGAGGTGTCATGCTCTTCCAACGGCAGAACTCCCAGGGCGGCATTCAAAACAGCGGCCTCATTCTCGTCCTCTCCGCCAAAATCTATTTCACCAAAAAAGTCAAATGCCTGGGAAATGGGATTAAATGTGCAGGATGTCTCCTCATTTGCAGAGAGATCAGAGCCAATAGGCAAAACCTCCTCCTCCTTCTGCTCCTCTTTCTCATTCTTCTCCCCATTTGCTTGTATCCCTGAAGACTCACACACAGTGTGTGTCCTGGCAAGTGAAGCAGGTCCGGCAGGAGCAGTTGAGGAGCATGTTCTCTGAGCCTTCTTCACGGGTATGGAGCTGCAGCACATAACCACACTGTGAATTGAAGACAGACACTCCTCATTTTTGCCCTTCTGAAGATAAAGAAAAGAAAGAAAAAAGTGCGCTAGTAGACGCAGCTGCGTGAGGCGTTGCGTTGTCTCTTCGTCGTCGTCTTCTTCCTCTGTTCCTCCGTGTTTCACCAACGTGTTCACTGTCCTCTTTGGCACTTCTAGCCGAGCAACGCGAAAAATGTGACCGTCCAAGACGCTGAGAAGCGCACGAAGTGAACCCACCGCGTCGTAGAATTTCTCCCCGGTAGCAAAAAAAATCTGGGCGTCGCGTATGGAACTCAGTACCAAAGCCTTTCCCCGTGCAACTGTGGGATCTTGCGGATTTGAGGGTAACGGAAAATTTGATTCAAACCCAAGTGGGACCGCCGTGAATGGAGGCATAAACTGGGGCGAGTTCTTCCCGTCGTGTGACATGGCGCCATCGCTACGCTCATCGTAATTGCTGCCGATGCCCAAACGATTCGGTAATCGCATCTGTTGAGTGGGGTGTGGGTAGGGAGGTGGTGTACGAACGCTTTCACCGGAAACAATGCCATTTCCATGTGTAGCCGATACATGTAAAGGAGGCGTAATCCCTGCAGGTTCCTCATCTGAATTTGAAAGGGATTGTGAACGGTATCCTCCGGCCAATGCGGGGGGACACATCAAGGCTGCGGGACCCTCTTGTGCTTTTGGGTAGTGCCGTGGTGCCGGTGTATGCCAGGTGCCATTGGTATCTCTCACCTCGTAACCACGAGGGGTATAACTGTTTTTATTGCCTATACTTGAAGGAAATTGTGGGTTTCTCTGAGCAGCCATCATTTCGGACTCTTTTCGCTTGAGGTTATAGTAACTATCCACAGCCTCCTTCAGGGTGCGGTAGGCAAAGTTCCCGGAACCAAATATGCATTTCATATTCGTCGCTGGATCCGCGTCATGAAAGACACGATCTACAATCGCTTGTTTGGCGGTGTCGCACTTCAGTCGTAGTGGTGGCTTTCCGGAACCATTTGGCATCTCCATGCCGCTGCGTTGCAACATCCTTTCCGCACCACGACGATCGGCAAACTCAACAAAGCCATATATCCAGTTTTGTGTCACGGTGAAGTTGCCGCAGAGGCGCACACGCAGAAATTCCCCACACTCCGAGCATAGCGCAGCCAACTCTCCCTGCAGCATGCCACTTGGGAGGAAACGTAAATGTACAGTTCGTTCAAGAAGATCCGTGTCTGCAGCCTCCTCCTCCACAAGCCGCTGCCGCTCCTCCTTTGAAAGCGCCTTAAACTCCCGGTGTTGACGTTTGGAGAAGTTTTCGTAGTTGCTCGGCCCGTGATACGTGAAGGGGTATCGTAACGTCGGCTCCACCTCCGTGTCTCTCGCCAGCGTAAATGGCGGTGGGGCCGTGTTGTGTTCGTCCGACGGCGTGTGGCCCGTGGGGGTAGAAAAGTTTTTGTTCACCATGTGAACCGCCTGCCTTGGCCTCCTCCCCATTAAAACCAAATGTATATATGTATGTATCCCTCCCTTTTTTTTTCTCTTTCTCTTTCTCTCTCTTTCTTTGCTGTGCCGTTACTGTCCTCCTGTTTCCTTGCTCCCGGTTACTGTGAATTTCACACCTGTTGGTTCTTTGTGTATGCGTGTATCGTGTGATGGCAAATTATTTTTTTTTTTCCACCTGACACGCCTCTCTTCTTCTCCCCGTAAACAACTGCAATGAGTAAATGCTTCTAGTCGTCGTCGTCGAATGGCCACCAACCCACCTCCTTTGTTTGTTTGTTTGTTTGCTGTGTGTGTGCGTGTGTGTGCCGTGTTTTCTGTGTATCAATGTGTCTGTGTGTATGTGTGCTTCCGTAACGAATGCGGTGTACCTACTTTGGGTGTGTGTCTTTCCCCTTCTCCCCCCCACTCTACTCCCTTTCCCCCCGTTATCACCTTCTCTTTTCTGTTTTACCGCCTTCACTTCTTCCTCTTTTTTCTTCTTCTGCTGCTGCTTCTGCTGCTGTTGTTTCTTTACTCTCTTCTCTTCTCTTCTCTTCTTTTCTTTTATTTTTCCCTTTTTTTTTCTTTTTTTTATTTAATACTTCGCTTATTTTTTCTTTTAATTTTTTCTTCACAACTTTTTTTTTTTCCTTTTCTTTTTTTGAGTTTTGTGCCTTCGTGTCACCTGCGGCCCTGCGCTCGGGAGGATCTCAGTTTACTCTCGCGCAGCCGCGTCCCAAAAGGGGGAGTCGCAGACAAAAAAAAAAAAGAAGAGAAGCGGGCGGCTGCAAAGAGGGGCGGAAGACACACACACACACGCCGGTGGCCGTAAATAAATGTAAATTATTAAGTGGAGGGGTGGCGGTCGGAAGAGTAAAATATTTCTGCGGCCACTTTTCCTCCTCTTTTTTTTTTTTTCTGCCGCCCGTTGGCGCTGCGATGCGTCCACTCGGAAAAGAACTCCCGTCCGCGGGGGACGCCCCTCACAAAACACGCCGGCAGAAGCGGCAGCGAAAAGGTGCAGGCGGCCTCCGTCTGTCCGTCCGTCCGTGCAGGAATAAAAGAAAAGAAGAAGACATGCGGGCCACACAACACCCTCCACCCCCCCCCCTTTAAAAAAAAAAAAAAAACAGGGATGCAGCCACAGAAGCAAAACAAAAAAAAAGAAAAAAAAGTGTTTCATATATAAAAAAAAAAAGTGAGAAACACACAAATAGAAAGAGAAAACAAAATCACATGTATGCATTTAACATAACAAAACAACAAAAAAAAAAAGAAAAGAAAAGAAAAGAAAAAAAGCCTTCACTCTCACACAGAAGTACAAATGCCAATACATAAATATATGTGTATCCATATATATATATATAAATATATACAATGAGGGAAGTAACACAAGATACTTATGTCCCGTGCAAGCAGTTGTACTGCACTCGTGTCACTGACCCAAATATACACCGTTTGTAATGTATGATATTCCATTGCATGTGGTGTCGTGTGTGTATGTGTACAAAAAAAAAAAAAAAAAGGAGGAGGAGGAGGAGGAGAAGGGAGGGGAGGGAGGGAAGAGCAATCCTTCTCATTTTCTATTCATGCATGCACTCTTTGTCTAGTAATATAAAATACATATATTTATTTATTATTTATCTTCTTCCTCTTATTATTATTATTATTATTATTACTTCAACGGTTTTATATTCGTTTGGCTGAATGCACAACACCTCCCCCTCCCCCCCCTTTATTTCCTCCTCTTAGTTTGTTCTCATGTAACCTTCACTCCCTCCCACTCCCACTCCCACACATACACGCTGACTTTTCCCCCGTCCCCTCCCCCTTTTGGAAGAGGAGGAAGGTCGAGGGTGTTGGATATCCCCACGTACGTTCGTTCCTAGCCCCCCCCCCGCAGTCACACTTGCCCTCGCCACAAACACAACTATACAAATGTCCATAATAATAACAACAAAGAAACTGCCAAATATAAATGCACGGCAAGGTGAGAAAGGAAGAAAGAGAAAAAGCAGAAGATCACGCACATCACACCACAATGAGAGAAAAATAAAAGCCCTGTTGTATTCAACTTCAACACAATCTTCATTTTCATTCTTTTTGTTTTGTTTTGTTTTGTTTTGCCTTCCAAATTAGTGGAGAAATTATTCCGTGCTGTTGCCTCCGTGGAAGTAAAGTGAACGGCGCAAAAAAGCCCCAACAACCCCGTGCAGCAGCCACCATTTCTTCGTGTCCCTCACAGTAACAACACACGCACCCACACACAAATAGCCGTCTGAACGCATGTATGCATGGATGTCTACTGCGAGAAAAGGGAATTGCCCCCTTAGTCCCGCCCAGCAAACACCAGCGGATTGTGACCGGGCACACACAAAAAAAAAAGAAAAAAAAAAGAGGGAAGGAGGGATAGAGAAAAACCAACGCCTCAACGTACCCCCGTGTCCATTTCCCCTCTCATTCCTTCTTATTCTCAATGTGGGTGGGTCGAGCCCCTCTAATTTTGGATTCGTTTTCCTTTGTTTTTTTTTTTTTTGTTTTGTTTTTTTTTTTTTTTTTGTTTTGTTTTGTTTTGTTTTGTTTTTTTGAGGCAGAGAGGGCGTCCGCCTTTTATTGACACTCGCACTTTCCTCCTAAACACCTCCTCCTTCTCTTTCTCCTCCACGGCACAGTCCGCAATTCACATGCACAATTCAGCCTACTCCTGCGTTTGTTTTTTTTTGTTGTTTTTTGTTTTTTTTTGTTTTTTGTTTATTTGTTCCTTCCATTTTACTTGTCTCCCCCTTTCCCTCAAAGCCGCGCAGTTGAGTGCGTGTGGGTGGGTGTCCGTTTCGGTGGGGCGGGACGTGATGGTTGGCTCCCCTGCAACACGCACCCACACCGGCGTCAACTGAAGAAAAGGGGACAACAACCATTTAAAGAAAAAAAAGGGAAAAAAGGAAATTCACTCATATATATTATATTACACACGTTCATTAGGCGGCTTTGCAGTCAATGATGCAGAGAGTGTCAGTAAAGACGGCCATGCGCTCTGCATGCGTTCCCTGTGACTGTGTCGCAGCGGGCCGTACCCCCTTTGCAGTCGGCACGTGAATTTGTCCCCAGCGGTGAGGCGTACGTCGTTCACCCCGCAAGTCCCCTCTTCCCCTTTCCGCCCGCAGCTCATCATCCACAGTGTGGAGAAGCATTCCTTTTCTTTTTTCTTTTTCCTCTTTTCTTTTTTTTTTTTTTTTTTTTTTTTTGCTGCTGGTGCCGTCAAGTCACCCGCACGCTGCCGCTCAGCAAATACATCGTCGCACTCCCGTTAACAACCAATGACAGCAACGGCCGGGTTCTTCATCACAAACAGCATCACCACCCCCTTCTGCACCCCATACCACGGAGTGAATGTCTATTGACCTCTCCCCCTTCCTCAATGACATGCTTGAACGTCCTCTAAAACTTTAGCTTTTCTTCACAGACATGAGCGTTGTAGATAATCTGCGGCCCGGCGGGCACGATGCATGACGTCTTGGCGGTTGATGTGCGGACGCCCCTCTAATACCACGCGCCATACCATGACGCAAAAGCCCGTCGGACTTTTTGGAATGTTGCATTGCATGCAAAGCGGTATTTGGCGTAACAGCCCTAGGCTTTTCTTTTTCGATGCGCCTTCCACGTAACTCGGCTGTGGCTAGTCGTGGGGCGGAAGCAACGACGGTGCGATAATACATCTGCCTTGCCCTCGTCATTGTGTCATGTTGATCCTGCAACTCCTTCATAAACCGGCGTGATCGCGCATGAAAGTGGCCGCCTGGGACAGAGGTGGGGGTTTGTTTGGAGGTCAAATGCTCACGATCCCGGGAGAGGCTGTAGCCCGACGTGCCTACGGCAAGCGAAAGACGCGCGCCCTGCAAATTCCTGCCGTCGTCCAGCGACTTTCCACATCGATTTGGTGATACCTCTCGTTGTCTCAGAAACTTGGAAAGGTTCTGACGTGGCATTGGCATCACCGTCTCAGAGGCATGTCTCATCGAATTGGACTCATGTTCCTCCACCTCCACCTCCACCGCATTCAGAGAGCGCGGCTCGGCAGTCGCACCCACGGGACAGCCAAGCTGCATGGGCGGCTGGACGATGAGAGGAGCCTTACCCTGCCCGACTTTCATCATGATTTCATTCCCCGCAGAGCCGCAGCCACTACTCGCCTTGCCGTTCGCTTCTTTCGTCTCAGTGGGAAAAGGCAGCTCCTCGCCCCTCTTGGCTTCCGGTGTGACTACACGACAGCCCTCATCGGGGCTGTACAAATGCGTGACGTACTCCGTCGCTGTGAGAAATGTCTGACAGCAGCCCGCACAGAGAAAACGACTGCCTGGACATGCATTCATCAAATGCTCTCGCATGTCAAACGGGGAAAAGGAAGCCCCACAGCCGAGACACGGCGTCATTTTTGTACGCTTGCTGCACGTGTACGCGGCGTGTGCGCCCAACTTTGCCGCCTCCACCCCCACGCCGCAGTCCGGGCAGCTCACTATTTCTTGACCGCAGCGCATGATGTGCGCAGCGGAACCCAGACGACGACAGTAGGGGCATGTTCTAAGGGACGCGGGCAGAAGCGACCTCTTGGCTACAGATGTCTCCTTCGATGGGGCGGAGGACTCCCCACCGGTGGTTCCGCTGGCCGCCGTGTCCGAGTAATGTTTCTTCATTTCACTTCCCCGCATCCCCCTCCTGACAAAACACAAACACAAAAAAAGAATGACAAACTAGTGAAAGAAAAAAGAAAGGGAGAAATGAGGAGACAACAAAAGAAAAAATGAGGCATGCAGAAAGTCGTAGTGGAAACACACACACACACAAATACACAACAAAATACAAACGCTGCCCTCCGTACACTCCCACACACCGGGCCACAGAAATGAAAATCGCAGGCAGGCAGCCAAAAAAAAAAAAAGAGAGGATGGCGCACCTTCGCTTCCGCATTTAAATGCCCAAAGGGCAAGAATCAAACCGGTCTACAGCCACACGCAAAAAAAATAATAATAATAATAATAATCATAAACGCGCACTTCTTGCTTTTTTTTTTTTTTTTTTACCTTCACTTGTTATTTCCCTCCCGCTCCTCCTGCCGCAATGCCTCATGTGTGCAGTAATCCCACATGACGGTCTCGACGCTCATGCAGCAAAACTATTTTTTTTTTTGGGAGGGAGGGGGGAATTTATTATGGCATGACGCAATAAACCCCTGTTAATGGCCGATCGCCTGCCAACCGTCCTTACGCTCAGAGAAGACCTCCTCCCATGCATCGCCGCTTTGGAAGCACGAACATTAACTGCAGACACTGGCAGAAGGGAAAGAAAAGTTGTGTTGGTCCAATCGCCGTAAAACGTTTAAAAGATTACAACGACGTGCTTCACTCGTATTTGTGTGTGTGTGTGTCTCCGTGAGTGCTCGCCATAAAACATATAAGGGCGCATGCAACTTCAGCCTACACGCAATTTTGTGGGAAGCTCCTCCAAAGGCATTCCAATCATTTGAATCTCCTCGTGACGCATGTACGAAAAAAAAAAAAGAAAAAAAAAAAAACAGATTTTGCTTATCTATTGAAACATTCGGCAAAAACAATAAAATTGCAATTCAAAAAAGAAAAAGAAAAACACCGTTTATTTCATGTTTTGTTTTGTTTTTTGTTTTTTGTTTTTCTTACGGTCGTTCATGTTTTGGGCGTAAAATCAAATGGGCCCCCCCTTCACTCTTGCGGGCGGCTCATTGCGCCAGGGACGCCAAATTGCCCCACGCCCGTATACATTGCCTGCGGTCCGGCCTTTCGGGAGAGCAATGCGGGGTCTCTCGGCCGGGGTGCTCGCATGTGCGTCAAGAAATTCCCCTGAAATTGCCGCGGCGTCATCTGCACGACGTCGCAGCGGCAAAAATCCAAAGCGGTACAACGTGTACGAAAGGGAGTAACACTTTGGGAGCAGTGCGGTGAGTTCGTCGCCCTCTTCAATGTCCTCCACGGCCCGAATAACAGCGCAGCGGATTCCACGTCCCGCAGTTCCCTCACGCTCCGCGGCAGACGGAAATTCTACAGTCATCTCTGTGTTGGCCACCCCACCCGGGGGATGCTGCAGCATGTCCAGCACCGGCACCACAGACGCAATGGTGTGAGGATCAAATTCATTCACAGCGGCACGTTTATGATCAACCACACCAAAAACGCGGTCCAGGAGAGTCCATCTAACACTGCTGACAAGGCGTGTCCATGCGTCCTCCTCTAATTGCATCCGTTTGCGCTCCGTACAAATGCGTTCAAACGGTTCCACGTTCTTTCTTATGGGAAGAAAGCGCTGACGTGACAATACAAAGCGAAAGGCCCAAGTCAAATCCTCCATAGAAGGGGGTGGCTGTCGATATTGGCCGTTGCCGTCGTGAGAAAATGCCTTTAGGTCCTCTCGGTACTCATGTGAACCGCTGGCCGTAGAATCAGGAAATGATGGGCATGATGCTTCAATCATCTGCGCAATTTCGTACTCCTTTAACCACTTTTGATGAATCTGTCGCAACCAGTGCGAGAAACGCCCACAGTGATCGCTGTACTCCAGGTGCGTCGCTGGGTCCAAGACACCGTGGTGAAGCTCGCGAATAAAATCATCATCAAATGGGGAAATAAGTCGCAGATACGGATAGAGTGGGCTGCACGGTCCTTCCGCCCTCTCGCAGGCAAGAAACAGCGCGCAATGCACCTGATCCACAAACAAAGGGTGCGGTACGGGATCAAATGTGCTCTTTCTTACACCCACAATGGACTCTATTGTCGCATAGGAAGGAACCCCGCGGCGTTGCGCAGCCAACGAATGACGCTGAAGAGTCTCGGAATTCAGGAAAAGACCCCATGGAGCCAAAGCATGCGTGGCAGAGTTAACAGATTCCCCATCGAAATCGTCGTAATCAGTAGACGCATCGGTAAGGGGAACTGCCAAAATCACATCTCCCGCCTTAAATCCCTTGCGTGC